TTTGTAAAAAAAAAAAAAAAACGGGAATCGAATCGTGAAATCAAAATCGTGAATTTAATCGAATCGTGAGTTGAGTGAATCATTACATCCCTTCGTCTGCTAAATGATTCATGTAAATGTAAATGTATTTGCATTCCTCTGCACACCCTGTTTGCACAGACATGATACGTCATCAGCGCGTTCTATTACACTATTGCAGACCGAGCGAGAATGGAAGGCATTATTATTGTAATATTATGCGCTTTGTACTGTAATGTTTTCTCTCCGGTGAATGAGACATAAGGTAATCTGACAGCGTTGCATTCAACCCTCCACCAACACCATCTCTCATCGCTTAGTCGCTGGTTAGTCTCTGGTCTGCCTGTGCGCGTTCATGTGTTTTGGAGGAGGTGTGACTTTGGAGAGTGATTTGCAGGGAGGGTGGGATCTTATGCTTTCAAAGCTAACTTGCTATTTCTAGCCTCTCCGAAATTGCCTACACTACCTGCTAATTTTCAGTCTGTTATTACAGTATCTTTTAACTAATAGAAGCAAATAAAATAAGCAGTTTATTTCACCTAAAGTTTTTGAGTCTAAACAGGCTGTGACTGCAACAAATTTGTTAGTTTCCTACTTTTTATTTTTGAGGCATTGATTGCACTGCTTAGCTCCGCCCACAGCTAAATGTGATTGGTTCAAAATCTGTCTCCATACAGCATCTTGTGGACGATCTATAATTATTTATTTTGCCAGTTTGAAGTAATTCATATTGGTGAGAAGTTCTCAATGGCGAACGTAGTCCCACAGCCCCAGCTGAAACTTGTTTTGTAAATTACTCATACCGCCTGCGGCTGTCACAGCAGAGCAAACTTTGCTCCTGTGGGTTGATGTAAGATTTGTGTGTCTCTTCAGCCCATGTCTGATGTCTGTCAAGTTTGATGAAATATTGTGAATGTTACACTCTCTGCGTCAGCACTGGATCACCATGAGAACTCTATTTGGAGCTCAGATGTGGTGTAAAGGGCCCATTGATCTCAAGGTGTTGTATTACCCAGACAGCAGAGAAGTCTGAAGTCACAAGAAGATTTATGTTGCAATCTAAATGCGAGGATAGTGTTGAAATTGAATAGTGTCACTTCAGTGGATTATTAAAGTAAATTTCTCACTGTAAGAATATTTACTTATGTCTATATGTCTGTGGGCCCAATAGGAGTTTTACTGCAAAGTTTAGTGACCTTTATTCTGTAATGTTGGTTTTGTAAATTCTTAATGTACTGTAATTTCTTCTGTGCGCAGCGGCCCCATGCTGAGTGCTTCAGTCCATTTGTTATAACTGCCCTTTCTGCATTTGTTTTACACTGCAGTTAGCTTGCTAATTGGTCAAATGTAAAGCATGGAAATTGAAGTAATGCATTTGTCTGTCAGATGATAATATTCTGGTCTGTCTTGTGTGCAGGTGTAGATCCGTCTCTGCAGATAGAACATAGGATCCAAACGTCATCACAGGTGGCCCCTCCAGGCTCCAAACAGAACAAGCCCCGGGTGGCAAACTCAAGGGATGAGCGCTTCAGATCAGGTAGGAACATTTATCTGCTAAACTCTGTAATCATGAGGCACAGATACCAGTTTAGTGGTGCTGGCAACACATCCCCTTGCATTTAATATATGAAAATAATATATTTCTAAAAGAATATACCTACGTGTGAACTGAACTATCTCTGTCCTCACAGACCTTCATACAGAAGCAGTACAAGCAGCCTTGGCAAAGTATAAAGAGAGAAAGATGCCAATGCCCTCTAAGAGACGCTCTGTTCTAGTGCAGTCTTCAGTTGAAGCGTGCACTCCCCCAGGTAAACACACACACACCACAGACACAAACAGAGCTAGGAGTGGAAGGATTCTTTACAATTTTATGGGAGCACTTTCTATGAAGGCTATAGCAGAAAATATTTAGGAAGCGTTTTTTTACTTTATATTTAAATTTTTCAGCTGACAGCAGTTGACAATGTGCATTTCAGTCCTTGATAGTATCAATATGTTTTGATCTTCTGAGCCTTGAGAGAACAATGCATAGTTTTCTGAATAATAGGCTCATTATTTACACAAAGAGAATGGCTCCTGACCACTTAGTTCCCAGACCACCTTCCCGCACGCCTGTATATGGAGATGTTTAACAAAGTTCCAGCTTTATTGACCCACTGGCTGCATATTTAGTTATCACATTTAGTTAACACACAAACTTTAGCTAATCCAAAATGGATTAAAATGTACAGTTTTATCAACCTAGGTCTGCTACATTGGTGCTGCTGGCATGAGCAAAGCCTTCTGCTGAAACATATTCAGATTTACAGGTATTAGGATACATGCTGCTCCTGCAAGGTGAAGTGGAAAGAACCCTGTAGTAGATCTGGACATGTGGTGCTGGGGAGGAGGGCTAAAGAAAATAGGACAGAAATAAATATGGTTGCATATATACGAAAGAGAGATTGATTGGCTGAATTGTGGGCTTGGAAGAACCAATCAGCAAATTTTCATACCTATTGGTTATTTAGTGCTGTATCTGTGTTGGTGTTATTAAAACAATAAGACTATATTTGGCCTTGACTTCTTTATGATTACACATTATTACAACCTGTGGTCAGAGAAGCTCGTCTCCTCATATTTGTGTAATGTCTTTGCTTTGTCCATCAATTTGGATTACGTTTTTTGTTATTCTCGCCCTGTATGTTTAGCATTAACGAGTTTCTGAGTCTTGGTGTCCTTAAACACTCTTCTGTCCTTCTTCGGTTAGAATGATGAAGTCAGTGAAAGGTCAGCGGGATTAAAGGTTCAAGGGTGGGGTCAGATCAGCATAACGGGCCCATTCAGGGTCGCCCCCTGTGGGAATTGGTCATGGTCCGCTAATTCTTTTGTGCCCTGGACGCAGTAATGCACACACACACATAAAGTGGCTAAGCTGTCTGATTGCCCCGACGGAGATGATCTGATAACCCATCTGGCCTGTCAGATACCCCTCTTACCCTATGCCCCATAACCTCTCGCCTCATTCTTGACCCAAAAGGGTAAAAAATAAGCCATTATGTACTTATTGATGACAGACTTAAATGACTTGTGCCTTATATAAGTCTTCTAAATAGCATTGTGTGACGAACAAATCAAATTTTAAGCCATTAATTGCTATAAATGCTAAGAAATCTTACCCTTCAATCCTACTCTTCACAAATCTTATTTTCATCTCCATATAATCAAACATTTCCTCTTGCGATCAGTCATGTGACATGCGAGAACCAATGGAGTTTGGTATCACTGACATCAAACATAACAAACCTCTATATTCTATAGCAACCGAGCAGCTTTATTACAGTGTGACTGATTCGATTTAACTTCTGTCTGGATCTGAACAGCTTGAAAAATGCTGTCTGCCCCACTTTCTTGGCCATTTTTGATGTTGTCTCTCATCTTATACGGTTGTGCATTCATTATCCTGTTAGCTCCTGATCTGTTGAGTCCTGTGAAGCTGTGCTGTTTGTCCTCTGGATGTGACCTCAGACTCTGTTCTGGTGGAGTGACTGATAGAGAAGTTTTAGAAGAATTATTTCTGTTTTAAAGGTCAGGTTTTCAGTACAGCTGTTGTTAAAGTCTTAAGTCTTCGTTCTGTCTTCTCTTGACACACCTACTCATTCCAGTTCATTTCTGCCTCGTTCTTTCTCCTCGTCGTCATTCTCAATTTCTCTCTCAAATCACTTCTCTTCTCCCATGACTCTATTTCATGCCTATTGTCTCTGCATCTCTCTTTCTATCTTGCTCTTTCTGCATCTGTGTCAAGGTTACTCTCGGAGTGCCTGAGGACATGAAGTGGGAATAGAATAACAATAGTTCTCACAATAATGAGCCTAGTTTTTTTTGCTAGCTGCTTATAAATTATTAGACATGCAGAAATTTTAAGAGCAATTCAGATCACATCTAAACAAAAATTCCTAAATCTGAACAATAATAGTGATATAGTGAATAATGGTAATAGTTTGATTAAAAAAATAAAATAAAAACAATAATATTGTGAAATTGTATAATAACTGTTCTATTTTAATATATTTTCAAATGTTATTGATTTCTGTGTTGCAAAGCTTCATTATTCCTGTTTTCAGTGTCACATGATCCTTCAGATATCATTATAATATACTGATTTGCTGTACAAGAAACATTTCTTGCTATTATTATCAATGCAGAAAACAGCTGTGCTGTGCATGTTTTTGTGCAAACATTATTTTCAGGATTTTATGATGAAAAATTTCAAAAGCATTGTAACTTTTTTTTAAAAGTGTTTACTTGATCACTTGATCAATTTAATGCATCCTTGCTGAATAAATATATTAATTTCATTAAAAAAAATATTTTTATTTTTATTTGTACGGTAGTGTATTTTACGGAATTTTGAGTACATTTTGTATATATTGATATTTATATTGTTGAATATTGGTCTTGGTCCACCTTGTTCTCTAAATTAGCATCCTCATTAGTCATTTTAGTTTCAAAATGTATGCAATTTCTAAAAGTTTCTACTCGAACAAATGCTAAGCTTCAGTTTAATTTGTAATCCGGGGTTCGTTGAGGGTTCAGGACTGTTTTGAACTAATAATAACAGGCATCAGGCACCCTTCAGTGTAAGTAGATTATTATTTTCATAAGAATGCTGTTTTGAAGAGATACATTAGACTAATGCCTTTCACATTTAATGCATGACTGTTTTTTGCTTAGTGTCTGTCTCCTAATTTGCTGGACACACTCCATAGTAACTGCTCCCTGTAATTGCATAATTAATGTTAAATGAATCTGCTACCACCTACAAGCTTCTTGTCAGTCAATCTCGCTCTCCTTTGGCTTTTACGCTTTCCTTTTGTCCCTTCTTTTCTCTGTTAAATTCTGTGTGTGTTTAAGCTGTTTGATGATGAAAAATACAATAAATATTGAAAAAGTAAGTGCTGAAATGTGTTGTGCAATTTTCTGAGATGTTGTTTAAAAGAAAAAGTATTGCATGCATATTAAACTTCATTATGTAACTCATGTTTTTGTTACAAACATGATTGGCACCTTAAAGTGTGTGATTTGTTGACAGTAAGACTTTTGGCCTGGTGGACAAAAAAAAAAAATTTAATTAATTAATTAACTATAAAAAAACACCAGCTCGTTAGTGGTAATAACCTAATGATCATTAGAGTTTACTTTTCTGATGGAGTTAATTGATCATGAATTCTCACTGTTGTTACACTTTTTAAATCCCAGCAGAAGATGCCTTATGCGTGATGAAAAACTACAGATGGTTTAGCTATATGACATATTTTATTCATTAATTGGTGGACATCTGTTATTTTCTATGGCATTACATTTATAATGTATTTATAATTGGGAAAATGGTGTGTGTTACCATAACTGCAGGCCTCACATGCTTCGTTTCTGACCACATGAGCATTACATCAGATGTATTTTCCAGCTTAACCTGCCGGCAGTTCTCATCAAAGTGATATTTTAGTCTGGACTGAGAACAAACGCTTTTTGCTTTCTCTTCCACGATGATCATATATTAGTCCTTCTGACGTTTATGATGGAAGCTTTGAATAGCTTTTATTTTTTCATAAAGACATTTTACAGTACAGTGGTTCCAAAAAGTATTTTTTAAAGCTTCTTTAAAAAAAAAAATTAAGATTTTTAGCTCTGAAATGATAAAACAATAAATATACTGTTCAAAATGATGATGGATGGAAATTAATGTGACATTGGTTATGAAATTTTAGTGGATCATGTTGATAGTTAATGTGTTTACTTGAGGAGAACTTGACTTCATGCATCCATTAAAAATCACCAAAACACTAGCTGACTCAAAGATACTGAGCAAACAATTCATCCTAACTTTGAGTGCCGATGACACTTGTCATTTTGTGTTTAATGAAGTGACATTCAGACATTTTTAAGTGTGATTCAGGAGTCCATTGTATAGGATGTTAGTTTCATACCTTAATTTCCGAGAGTGTGGGGTGAAGAAAGGCAGATTTTCAGATGTGTTAGATGAAGGGTAATAACTAGAGTTATGTAATGCATTGATTGTTTGAGGTCTTAAGGCTCTGAAGTGATAATCAGACTCTGACATGTTATCCAACTAAGTCAGTCTCCATGTAATGCCTTTTTTTATATTTCCATATTGGTTATAATGTGAGGTTCAAAGATCTGCATAATCTAGATTCAAAACCAACTTTAAAAGAAATTGAGAGTTTTAGCAGAGCGGTATTTTCTTGTGTTTTCAAGAGCTGCTGAATGTTGATCTCTGTTATTTATAACAAATATAATACAGTCATTACCATGGAAACTCTTTGAATAGATACCAGTTACCTCCAGTGTTATTTTACTGTTATTTATATACTAAAGTCTTCATTACTATTTTGAATTAGTGTTTTTTGTACTTATACTTCATTTAAACATTTTTTAAAATATTTATTTCAGTTAGTTTTCATCTAATATTTACATTTTATTTAATTTCAGATTATCTTAATTACAGAATTTAACAGTTTTAGTTAACTAGTTTCCTCCAGTTTAGCTGTGGCATCCAATTTATTTATTTATTTTATTTTTTTGTGGACCCCTAATCTTGAAACTGATAATCATATATTCAGCATGACTCAACACAAACAAAATACTATTGTTAAGGCTATGAAACCTCAAAACAGAAGTGTGATATTATTTTCCAGATGATCAGACTTACAATTTCACATGTAAGTTATTGTAAACTTGCATTAAAGTATAGACCAAAATGACAATTTGACCTGGGCTAGTAAGTGACCACCCAGAACATCCTAACAACTACATACGTGGCTTCATTAGATAATTAATTGTTTAAAAATAAGACTAATTACCTTTTTAAAGTTAATTTTATCCACTTTAATTTCAAATACTTTCACAGTTTCATAAATGTGACCCTGGACCACAAAACCAGTCATAAGGGTCAATTTGTCGAAATTGAGATTTATACATCTCCTGAAAGATTAATAAATAAGCTTTCCATTGATGTATGGTTTGTTAGGATTGGACAATATTTGGCCGAGATACAACTATTTGAAAATCTGGAATCTGAGGGTGCAAAAAAAAAAAATCAAAATATTGAGAAAATCGCCTTTAAAGTTATCCAAATGAAGTTCTTAGCAATGCATATTACTAATCAAAAATTAAGTTTTAATATATTTACAGTAGGAAATTTACAAAATATCTTCATGGAACATGATCTTTACTTAATATCCTAATGATTTTTGGCATAAAAGAAAAATCAATAATTTTGACCCATACAATGTATTTTTGGCTATTGCTACAAATATACCCCGGCGACTTAAGAGTGATTTTAGTGCTCCAGGGTCACAAATCACTGTTTTATAAAATCTCTCTTTCACTAATCACATAAAACATGACATATACACTTTTGAAATTTTGTTTTAATGACAGAGTGCTGATTTTGAAGTAAAACTGTTCCACCTAACCATTAGTCCTCTTGTTCTTGACTTCCCAGACACCTCCTCTGCATCAGAAGACGAGGGCTCGCTGCGCCGGCAGGGCCGGATCGCCTCCTCGTCTCCATACCAGGCGCATCCCAGTGTAGAGCACTGGTTTAACAGAGTCATCCAGGGCTCCTCCACCTCATCGTCTGCATCCTCCACCTCCTCCCACCCCGGAGGAAGACCCCACCATGCCACAAACGCCACCTCTGCTTCAGCCGCAACCGTACTGGCCGACCTCATGGCTCACACACAGCTAGGTCAGTTCTCACTCCAACTAACCTCTCTTCATGTCTTCAGAACAGACCTACCCTCTGGCTTCATCCACTCTGTTTTTAGATTTATATGTCTTCTAAAACTCAGATGCAGGTTAGTGCCCTGCTGAAAAGAAAGAGCAAAATGTGTGCTGCTGAAAGAAATAGTCCACCTAAAAAGGAAAATTCTGTCATATTTACTCTATATTACATATTTACTATATTCAAACTCCAAAATAACAAAACAGCACTATAAAGTGCCCTATATTTAAAGTCTTCTGAAGCCATACAGTAGCTTTGTGTGAGGAAAAGATAAATAAAGGCTTAAATTTTGGTCTATTCCTGACACAAAGCTGTCATATGAATTCAGCAGCCATGATATTCTTCCAAATTGTTTTGTTCTATTCCTTTTTTATGTTCTATGGAAGAGAGAGAGAAAGTCTTACAAGTTTGGAACAATAGTGGTTAAATTATGACAGACTTTTAATTTCTGGGTGAACTTTTCCTTTAAATTGGATTAACCAGCATTTCTTCCTTGGTCAGCCTACACTATTGTTTAAATGTTGGGGTGGAAAAGATTTGCTTTATTTGTTTTTAAAAATAAATTAATACTTTTATTCAGAAAGATCACATTACATTGATAAAAAGTGACAGTAAAGACATTTGTGATGTTACAGTATCACAATATCACGTTTCTAGAAGAATAGTAAGCAGCATAACGGTTTTCAACATTGATAATAATCAGAAATGTTTCTTGAGCTGCAAATCAGCATATTATAATGATTTCTGAATGATCATGTGACACTGAAGTCTGAACTCCGAGTAATGATGCTGAAAATTCAGCTCTGACATCACATGAATAAAATACAATAAAAAAAAATTCAGTTGGATCACAGTTATTTTAAATTGTAGTACTATTTCGCAATTTAGCTGTTTTTACTGTATTTTTGATCAAATAAATGCAGCCTTGGTGAGCATGAAATGCTTCAAAATCATTTTTAAAAAATCTTCCTGACCTCAAACTTCTGAACAGTAGTGGACTTAATAAGTGAAGTCTGCTGTTGAACTGCTTGGCTACTGTCTGTTGGCCCGCTAGCTAGACCAGCACCAAAACCAAAAACTGAAAATTCATGCTGGTCTTTTTAGCAGGGTGACTGGAATTGTGTACTGATTTTGATAACCCTGTCTTACTCCTAAGTGCAAAATCATCAGCATGCTTCGCAATGTTTCTGTTACAGCTCATACCTTAAAACGTTTTTTTTGCATGACATGCTTACACACTGCTTATGTTTACAGCACATGGAGCACTTTACTACTCTGCTGCTGCCCACGGCGATGATAAAATCATGGTTTTTAATGTCCTGGCTGCATGCTTGCATGGTGCATGGTTGGTTTTTAACTTCTTTTTTTTCTCCGCTGAGATATCTTTAGGGTCCTGAAGCCAATCTGCGCAGATAAAGCCAGCATTGGCCTTGTTAGTTTGACAGGCAAACAAAAGATCTGAGCAGGTTCCAGTACTGCTGTGAAATAATCATTTTTGGCAACCTTCACTGTTAATGAAGGAATATCTCATGCAATACTCACCCTCATAGTGTTCCAAGCTTATGATTTGTTTTACAGTGAAACACAGAAAGAGACATTTTGAAGAATGTTCCTGCTGCTGTGTCTTATACAATGAAATAAAGTGAGATATGTGGATCAAGCTCTAAATATAACAAAAAGCACCATGAATGTATCGTAAAAGTAGTCCACACACCTGCCATATTTATACTTTAACTCAACACAGGGCTACAGTACATTTCAACACTGTAAAAAAACTGTCAATTTTAACAGTAAAAGACTGTAAAAATGCTATGGTAAAACCTGTTAATTGGTTAACGGTAAGTTCCCTTTCAGTCGGTCACTCTGAGTCATGTTCGAGTGTAAACTAAACGAGCCAATGCACATTGCGATGATTGCATCCAGCTGCCGTTGATCACAGCGTGAGCATAAAAAGGCAGCCGGTGCAAAGCATTCCAGCTTTTCGCTTCGGAGCCGAGCGACAACATCGTTCTGCTCCTACCAAACTGCTTCGTGTGTGACGAGTCTAGCGCACTCTCGGGAGCTTTTTGTGTTGGGGGACGGTGCTTCAGCGGTGGTCGTTCCTGTGTCGAGTGGGTTGCGCACTTCAGGCTGCACTACCCCCTGTCGTGCTGCAAACGAAGGTTCCCACTACTCCCTTCAGGGATCAGGTGGTGAGCCTGCAAGCGCTGCCCCCG